ATTGGTTTCATTAACATAGCAGAATCAAAAGAAGCCAAGAAAGTGGTCCCTGGGTGTGTATGTCAGATCCCAGCAAAAGACACTTTCCTCCTTACCCTGCTCATAGTGAGGATGACCCTGAGTCCTGGGTTCTGTCTGCACACACAGACAAAGGATAAAGGGTTTGTAGACACTGCCTTACCAGATCCATAGAAACTGTCAACCATATTTTTTGTTTGTTTTAAACTCTGTTATTAAGCTGTGTATGAAGTTGGTCAAAATGGGTCAATATTTTGTTCAGCTAATTCTGAACACCATCGTGTGTACTCTAGGAAGAGATAGAATTCCTCTTTGGGCATCATGGCTTTGTGGGGTTAGATTAGGACATAGTGGAGAGTATTCTGTAAGTGAGGGGTGTGATATCTGAGTACCAAGGAGACCAAACAGTCATAAAAAAGCTGATAGTCAGGAAAGGGGGGCAGGCTCTGGTTTTGTTTCACTTCCCAAGGCACAAGGATTCAATCCATCCTCTCAGCATCTATTCACTTGGCTACCCCCAAAGGCTAAAACTATTGTGTCTCTGGTAAGAGTGATGGTGGAATTACTCAGACTTATTTACAACCATCAAAGACACGATAGATATGGATCATGTCATAATTAAGCTTGTCATAATAAAGGGGTGGCCATATCAGCGCAATCATGGGGGCTGTTATGATGTCACAGCTGCCTTTGCACGGCATTTAGCCTCTATTTTCCACCCCGCCCACGCTTATCTCTGGCTATATTTGGTTGTTTTACAGTGCTACCTGGACCACAGTCTGTTTTACAAAATAAACGAGCAGGTTGAGCTCCACGGAACCTATTTCCTTTGCTTATTGATGCTTTTCCTTGGTGTGATCTGTTTTGTCTACTTTGTACCTAGAATCATGGCTGAAACAGTCATGAGTTTGCTTTGTGTAAAGGAGAGCAGAGCATTGAGCAATCAGCTAATAACCCTGTTGAGATGGTTGGTGAGTTTGGAAAATTCCACTCTCCAAAAAAAAAGTTACTTTCTCCATAGCAGATTTCCTCTTGGCCACAATTATCCACAAAGCTGTCCAATTTCCAAATGGTCTTTACCACTGTTGACGTCCCCTAAATAATGTATTTGATGGATTTCATTAGATATGCTCAGTAATCCTTTTTTCTAAGTGGCCTGTTTTTTTTACCAGCCTGTGTACTTATTTAATAAATATAGAAATCACTTTCAGCTACCCAGCATTGCTGTTGATAAAGTATTCTAAGTGTAGCAACAGTAAGATAGTGTGTTGCCTTACTCAGTGTTCAGTTGGGCAACTTTTGCTTGGAGTCTCAAGTGTTCATAGTTAGATGGTGGCTGAGGCTAGATGAGCAACCTGAGTATTTCTTCATCTGTATTTTTGTCCTTGGGCTAATCAGGACTCTGTCCACATGGTTAGCTTAAGTTTCCTTGTAATTTGGTGGTCTTTGGGTCATCAGATTTCTTACATTGTGACCGGCTTCCTCTAGAGCCAATGTCCTAAGACATTTGAGTGGATGCTGCAAAGATTCAAAGTATCTCCTTGAAAGCCATGCAATCATTTCTTCCATCTTCCATGTGTGAAGGATTACACTGGTGAACCCATATTCAAAGGCTTAGAGAAATAGATTCTACCTAAGCACAGAGGAATGGTTTGTGCGTTGAAAGAAAGAAATACTTGACACGATCATCTTAATGAGACGCAACCACAGGTGTCCCTCGTGTGGCAGGTGCCATGTTCAGAACTGAAGTGCTTTACCCACAAAATAGGCACTCATGAAGATGAAAACAGCTTGAGTTTGACCAGACAGTCTTCATAACTGCTGAGCAGTAACTATCAACACTAAGTCTTTTTGCTCATAAAACTGGCAAAACAACTCGTCTGATCATTTCTTTCTCAATAACAAGTAGGAGACATGTGAATGTATCTGACCCATCACCCCATGATCACCTTGCTGCGCTGATTCATTCACAAGCCATAACAAAGCCTTTAAGTTTGGACAACACTGGGGTATTCACTGTGGCTTGACAGACTGTGAAATCTCTGCTACACATGGGAGTTCAAACAAGTTTCTTTGGCTCATGATAGGGAATACTGAAGAAGCTGAAAAGTCAGAGCTTGCCCCCACTGAGTTTCTAATCTCCCTAGCACCTCTGTCCTTGTGCTGTTTGAAACAACTTGGTACAATCATGGACCAAGATGTTGACTTCAGACAGTCAAGAGAAGTAGAATCAGCATCTATTTCTACCTGAGAATCCTGCTTGGGAGAGCAGCTGACGAACAGTTTGTCTCAGCGTGCTTCTCCTCTGCACCATTAAAGGAAGGTGATCAAGGTCTTTCATGTCAAAGGAGATTTTAGGTCAGCTGTGTTGACAGAAGGATTGGTGGCACTCAGCAATTCCCAGGTCTTATCACTCTTGGCACTGTTCATGTCCATTCGATGGTGGCACTCTGAGGGGCTGGGAGAACAGACTCGTGATGACATAAGAGATGCCTTGACATTTCAGAAACAAAGGTCAGTGCCTGAAAAGGTGCAGGAGAGGGGAATTCCTGGGACCCATGTCAATCCTGTGCCTTCTCACATGTTGTCTCCTGTAGCATGAAAGCATAACATGGGGTGTTCTAAGTGGACAACAACGACATAATTTGCCTTGTTTGCCAGGGTGTTTCAAGCAAGACTGAATTCTGATCCATCGCATCAATTGTCTTCCGTGAATCCACTAACTTTAACTTTATGGCTGGTGCTTTAGGACCAGTTCCTTCTGTATATCCGTGAATGCTGTATACCTGGATATGGTTTGCCAATGGGAAGTCCTTCCATTTTGAATATAACTTAGTTTATCTGAAAAATTGTTTTTCTTACTGGAAATTTGCAATAATCTGACTTTTATTATATACAATTCTTCACTCTGCTAGCACACACTCATTTGCTGTTTAAAAATATTTAATTTTTTAAAAACATTATTGATTTTATTTCATGTGTATGAGTATTTTGTAAGCAAGAATGTATGTATGTGTACCACATGCATAGCTAAAACTTGAAGAGACCAGAAGAGGGCATCAGGCCCCTTGGAACTGGAGTTACAGAGGGTTGTGAGCTACCATGTGGGTGCTAGAAATCAAACCTGGGTCCTCTGAAAGAAAAATAAATTCTCTTAACCACTGAGCTGTCTCTTCAGTCCCTATTTATTTTTATTTCAATTATGGACATGTATGTATCTGTGTATGGGTATGTGCACATGAATGAAGGGATCCCCCTGGAGCTGGAGTTCAAGGCAGTTGTGATCCCCCTTTAGTGAGCTCTGGGACCTGATCCTCTGTAAGAGCAGTACATGCTCGGAACTGCTGGGCTATCTCTCCATTTCTTATGTGTGTCCTGTTGTATCATTCAGTGCCTGTGGCACATCACTTCATAGTGTTTCAAAGTTAAATGGTTTGCCCAGATGAATGGCAGCAGCAGGGACTTCTTTTCACATGCAAATGTATATATAAGTACATGTATGTGATTGATGTGTATACATACAGAACTGTGCATACATATTTCTGAAGAAGCCTCTCAATTCCTGATCCATTCTTTCTACTTCCCTTTGTTTTACGGGTCAACGTCAAGTAGATGGTTTTCAAATGATTTGGTGAATTGAATTTACATGTATGCCTAAGAAACAGTATTGTTATAAAAGATCTCCAACTAGTGTCACAAAGATGAAAATCAGATAATTGCTCATCTTATGCTCTGGGTAAGTTTTTGCCTATATTCATGACAGACATAAATTACTGAGTATACAGGCACTTGTTATTATTTGAGAAAAAATAAATAAAAAGATCCTTTTTTCCTTTTGTACTGTGGAGTCTTTATTTAATCCCTCAATGTAGAGCTGCCGAATCCTGGAAGCGCCGTGCAGACCTGGGAAAGTTCATCTAGGCCTTTATTTGTCATGGAGGGGCCATGAAGACTTCTGCTTCTGGCTCTGCAGTGTCTGTCAGTGCCTTGTCTCCCTTCTGATTTCTTAAAGCAACGTGAACTTTGAGTAGAAATCTGATATTAACCTCATAGAAGCTGCTTAGCTCATAAGTCACCCTCCCTTTTCTCTTCCAGTCATTGGGTGGTCCCTAAAATGTTTCTATTTGCAGAGTGTGGGGCTGCCATGCCACATCTGGTGAGGAGGCCTGAGATCAGGGACAGCAGGCAACCCATTGTTGGTCCAATACCCTGAAATTTTTGGCACTTCTCATGTTAACATAAAGTAAAGCTTTCTTCTCATAATTATACTTGCACTTAAAATATGAATGTTACAATAAGTTCTTGTTCACAGACACCCATAATGACAGGTTTTCCAGGGGACAAAGTAGTGATTGACAGGAGAGAGTGATAGATATCCATATTTTAAAAGTGATCGATCCAGACATAAGGTCTCTACCTCATGGAAAGTCCAAAGTGATTTATTGGTGTGAGAAAGATGACATTAAGCCCATTTGTGTTCATTTTAATTTCACCTTAAATTTTGGTATCCATGTTCTTTTTAATTGGCATGCAATAATGCTCCATATTTATGCTTTCCATGTGATATTGAACACCTGGACACAGGTGTAACATTCAAATGAGGGTAATCCCTATGTTCTCTGTGTTCAGAATAAGTTAATAAATATGTAATATGTAAATTAAAATACATTTAACATGTTGTTGTTGGTAGAAGTGTACAGTTTAAATGTCTAGAGATTCCTACTTTCAAAAGGAAACTGTGGATGAGGCCCTGGTGATGCGGAGGGCAGGGGTGGAAAGCGACCTGGATCAAGGCTCTGCAAGCTCAACTTTCTTTCTCTGGTTGTTCCTGGCCCCAGCCATGGGATCAATAAAGAGTTCACTCTCAGTCAGACTCCAGGACAGTCCCTTTTAGATGTCAAGAAATTGCTCAATGCTAGGATGTTGACCAAAGAAAGTAGATGTTAATCGTGCTTTTATTTTTTTCGTTTTGTTTTCTCAAGGGTCTGACGGGAACAGAAAGTTTTGAGGGAGTTTACTGCTGATGCAAGGTGACTGGTTGGATAAAGAAGTCCAAAGTTATTTTTTTATCTGTAGAACAAATAAAGCCTGGCCAAAGGTGAGTGAAAACCGATGCCTCCCACCTTGTCCCTCTCTCCATGCCTAAGAGATGTTTGTGTCCATGGTTGCACAAGGAGAGCCCGCTCCGTGCTGGGTAGAGAGAAGTGCATCGGAGAGTGACTGATAAAAATAGTCTCTGACCTTTAGTCTTAGTTTGACAGGCAATTGATGATGCCAACTATACAGAAATCAGTTAAAAAATGAGAAATCTGCTTGTTGATCTCTTCTAAATATCTGGGAATTTGTCAGTCAGTACTTGAGTGTCTGAGTTAGGATATTTTTAAAAAATTCTTTCTCCAAGAATAGACACGACATAGCTTTATAAAATGGTAAAGTACGTGTATTAATTTGTGCATGCTTGGCTGTTAGTCTGGGTTAGTGAGAGGACACACGGCAGAATGATCCTCGTGATTTCTCTGTGATACTTACTTCCAAATACTACAAATAAGCACTCTGAAAACGTTGATCATCCTAGGGAGCCCAAGCAGACTTTCCTTTTTCTATTTTTAATTTTATTTCACTTGAGACAGTCTTCCTCTAGCCCAGGCTGGTCTTGAACTCACAGCAAAGCTTCTTTTCCAGTGCCCCTTTCTGAGGAGACTACAGGCAGGAGCCAGCATTCATTGTCCTAGTTGGTACTTAGGAAGATGGCAGTAATGCTGACGGTGGGGCTGGGGGATGACTGAATGATTGTTTAAATGCCTACTATGGGGAGGAAATTTAAACTGCTTTGGGTCCCAGACACCCCTATTATCCAGCTGTGGATATGACTTTCTCCTTGGCTGTTACTTCTGTAGAACAGGGCAAGGGGCCAAGCAGCAAGTAGAATAACACAGCTGCCGAGAGCCAGCTGTGGAAGGAATGAATTAACTTGAAGAAATGAACTCTGATTTGAAACTTAGGTTCTGGAGAGTTTTCTAAACCCTCCCAAGAATATGTCCTTCAGCATGTTTCCCACAAAGGGAACATAACAAATAAATATTGGGATATTTAAAGCAAGCATAAATTTTGGAATTATAGAAACAAATTATGATGGGAGTGAAAATTTGAGATGGGAAATCCATGGAGCATTTGCGTCCAGAAGAGTATTTGTGGATGTACCCATGGCAAAAGTAATGGGTTAATATCCGGGTTTTCTGAACAGCCACAACATCTTTTGGTGCTTATTTAACATTAAAAGAAAATCCCAAATTTTCCAGTACGGAAAGGACAAATTCCGGTCTTTAAGCCTAAGCCCTGCTGTGACCTGGGGCTTGGAATTTTGCTCCTGAGCAGCTTATCAATGGAAAAACTGATTATAAAAGGTTTAGGTTAGTTACATTTGAGTAATTCTACAATAGATTGCAAGACGTTGAACCATTTCAAGGGACAGAGGAGACATTTATCTTTCTGAGTGTGTGGATTTGTAGATTTTGTTGTTTGTTTGTGTCTGAAAATGAATTCTTTGGAATCCTGTGAAGCTTAGGATTCTATCAATGACCTTCCCAGGGCTGGCATACTGTGTGTTATGAGCCACCTATAAAACCTGCTTAGTTTTAAGAGTCTGCCTATATAGTCAAGCTGGCTTAGAAGTCACTAAGTAGCATAGGATGGCTTTGACCTCTTGGTGATCCTTCTGCTTCAGTGTCCTTAGAACATGAATCTTGGGTGTACATCACCGTACCAGGCTATTCTCCCTTTACAATCATGGGAGAAGATTGAAATATTGTGTGCTGTGGTAGACATTGCAAGACATTGTGATCTGCATCAGGTGACATCATGGGCTTTGAGATGTGCAGAACCTGTTATTTCAGGTTAGCATATGAATAGTGAAAAATCAATAATTCCACACTCAGCTATGTTAAGGCATTTGGTGAGGAAGACCATAGAGAGGGAGAGGAGAGAGGAAGAGGAGAGAGGGAGAGAGAGAGAGAGAGAGAGAGAGAGAGAGAGAGAGAGAGAGAGAGAGAGAGAGAGAGAGAGGAGGACATTACAGAGAGAGCTGAAGCAATGTGCGGTGCAGGGCTGGCCGACTGAGAACTCAGGGGGCCTGGCTTTCCAAATTGGCTCTGAGCTTGATGAGTCTGTTTATTCAGCCACGATATCAGACATTCCCTCTTCCTGCCCGAAGAAGTCCCTTTGAAGATCGGCTCTGCTGGGGAGCAGTTTCCCCTCGGACCAGCTCCTCCCGTGGCAGGACTAAAGGGAAAGACCTGGAAACGCCGCAAGAATGTTCTTTAAAGCGATATCCCAGCACCACGTGAGGGGAGGATGAAATAGCTGCATGAGGTACATTTCCTGGTTGAGGTATTTTTTTCCCCTCACAAGTGAATTTAGCAGCGAACAAAGATGTCACATGAATGGGGTTGGGGTCAGATGACTTGGGTACCTCCAGATCTGTGCGAGCAGGCTGAGGCTTGGGGGGCAAGAGATCGCTGGGCAAAGCACCAGCATTTTTAGCTTCTGTAGGCCTGGAGAGAGAGAGTTCACACCTGCCAAAGCCAGAGGGGATGCAGCAGGCAGAGCAACCTCCTCTACAAGTCTTTATCTGCAAAGGACACAGTGGTGGTAACTTATCAGGAGACCGGCCCACGTTTTCAAAGCAAAGCAGCAGATAGAATGAACGTTCTCTGGTGAACTGGGGGACAAGGCTCATGATCAGATCGCATCATCTGGAGGTCAACATTTTACTCAGAGGTGCCACATTCATTTCTTGATTTCAGAGATACTTTTCTACCTTTTCAAAGGTTTTTCTGTAGCCCTCATGTCAACCCTGTGAAGTAGCTAGGTAGGATGACAGTCTCCTGAGTGTTCCTCTTTGGAAACGGATGTGACACAGAAAGAGACATGGTTTTGTAGCTCATTACTGGCAGGGGCAGAATGACAAGCCAGGCCTCCTGACTCTTGGACCAGGCCTCTTTGGTCGGTGTTCTTGGGACCCGTACAAAGGGACAGTGGACTTTCAGAAAAAAAAAAAGGGAAGTGGCATTCTCCATCTGCTCCCAGACACTACTGTGACTCCAGATGGGCTCTCGGGGAGGAGACTCAAAGTGAAACCTTCAGAGGCTAAGTCTCCTGTTCTTCTCACACAGCTGCCCACATCTGGACTTGTCTCCTTCATGCTTCATGGGTGCCGCACAAACCAGATGCTCTCCGGAATGGAAAGGGGTCTTCGTTACTTCCATATCTGAGCTAAACTCTCTAAGATGCTTGTTTTTCTCAGATGGGAACAGAGTCTACCCTCTCTCCCGATGCCTGACCCAGACTCTGATGACCCACATTGGTCCTCAGGGCCCAGGCATGAGGCTCACCCTTTGGGAACAGAGACACTCACGCAGGCAATTTAATTCAAAGTAATAGGAACCAGAGTTTCTCTCTGTGGAGAGTGAAGTCTTGTCTGGCTTCTAGCTCCAAAGGGACACCAGAAAGATTGTGACTGTGGGCTGTGGGTCCTACTTCAGCACACAGCTTTCATTTTATCTTCCCTCTACACGTAGCACGCAAGTTGCTCAACGTCTGAGCCATATCTTATAATTGTTTCTATCCTCTGAGGCTTCTGAGTGTTTCAAATATCTGATGAATGGATGGGAATCTGTTTCCAGGCAAACCCTTATCCAAGTGTCTCCCAGCCTGGAGTTCCAATCAGAGTCATCCGAGAAATGGATAGGGTAGTTTGAAATAACTCCCCAGATGGCTCCACGCACAGCAAGGTTTGAGGAACTGTGTTTTATCCCTTTTTCCTGACTTTGAAAACTTTGTAACTTTGGTCAGTCCTACACATGCAAACAAACTCTTGGCTCTGTGAAGGGTTTTGTCCTTTACAAAGCTTATTCCACATCTCTCTTTGATTTAATTCTAAGTGAATGCATTTCACTGAAGGCAGGGCTCTGATTCGGGGTCTTTCCACATCCAGCTTACAAAGGTCCTTGGCTCCTCTACTGCATCCCCCACCACGCTCCTGTCCAGGTGCAGTATCCTCTCTACCATATGCCCCTTGGCTCTGCATCTTTGCCAGGCACAACTGCCCTTTGTGACGCCTACACAAAGCTAGCTGAAGCCATAGCAATCTGTGTTCCTAGGAAAGTTGATGGTCGGTAACGTGGCTGAGATCACAAACAACTTGTTCTTTCATGCTGATATAGGAAATTTAGAACAACGTTTTTGTTCATTTTTAAGCTGAAAAAGTCCCTGTGGGAAATGGCTGATGGTAAGAATCCATTCAGAGGAGGACAGTCTGCTTGTCGGCCTGTAATTAATTAATAAGTTAATTGTTTTTGAGGTCCTGGGGATTGAACCTAAGGTCTCACACTTGTTAGGCAGTTGTTCTAGCAATTAGCTATATCTTAAGCTCCATATTTTATCTTTTTAAATTTTGAGATAGGATCTTGCTAAGTTACAAACCCAAGCTGGCCTTAGAATTGTTCTGTATCATGGAAGAACTGGCTACCCTCCTGCCTCAGCCTCCTGAGTTTCTGAGATTGCTACACCGCCAGGCTCAGCTGTGACCTATATTTTAAAAGCCTGAACTCCTGACTTCTTTCCATCAAGTTTTACCAGGAATAATGGGAACTGGAGGGACTCATGCTGTGGCCTTAAAACACACCCTGTGCTCTGGAGACCCGGTGATGCCAAGATCTGCTGAGGTTGGCTGTTTGTGGTGAATGTCTGGTTTATAGCTAGAACAAAATGAACCCCTTGATCTGGGAGGGTGCAAGAGTTGGAGGCTCCGGGAATGGGTCGTGGGGACTTGCTTGGGCTGCACAGCTGGCTCGGGGTTCGAGAGGACGCTCGGCCTCGCCTTCCCAGCAAGTTAGTGCTCATAAGTGTAAGCGGGGCTTTCTCTTTTTTCAAACTTACTCTTTGATTGCTTGCTAAATGCAGACAGGCATCAGAAACAGAAAGTTGTCAATTCAAAGGGAAGGTGAGCCTGACATTTCTGCTGGGCCACACTTCTCTTCCACTTAGCTGAGCAGGGGCCCCATCGTTCATCGTGCAGTAATAGATGATTGATACGACTGCACCCTGATTAGGAAGGGCTTCATTTTACTTGTGCATGGTGCATGGAATTAGTTAAGGGTTGCATAGGAAAAGAAATGATGGACTATTGTTCATACCAAATTATAATGACAGCCTTCCTAACACTGTGTATTTATTATGTAAGAAAAGAAAATGTCTGGTAAAATTCTGTATAGGTTAATAACACCTTCATAATCCACTCCTTCTTTTCTGTTGACTTGAATAGCCCTCCTACCGACTTTTAATGGATTATTAGAGTTAATTACATCAATTGCAATATAATTGATTCTTAAATACTATGTAGAAACCTCATACAATTATGGAAAAACAAAAGTTATCTAGACATCTCAAATCAAAAAAGATTTGGAATTCCTGCACATTTAATCCCTGATAATCACCAGTCAGTTTGGACATTAAGATTGTATGGTGTCTTGTTCTCTCTTTGCCAGGTTTTGACAGAGTTGATAGTTTTACAACATTTAACTCAATACGAATGGAAATATAAGATTAAAGCTTTGAGAGCTATTTTTTTTTTCTAAAAAAGAAAGATCACTTCATGGCTTAAAAGCTGAAATGTGTTACCTGCTCCACAGTGACAGAAATAAACTCAAGGGAAAAATCAAAGGCGATTTGATGCTGGGCCTCAGAAATCTCTTCTCCACAGGGGTGTAGGCTCCTGGGGGTGGTCTTAGGGTGTTTTATTTTAACTTGGGGGCTCAAAAATATGACAAGGGAATGAATCACCTGAAGGAACAAAAAGGTCTCTTCCGTGTGACCGCCGAGTCAGGCACAATGTGTTTTCCTGTCAAAACCATTGACTGAAGAGTGTTGCGTCTTTAGCACCTGGCATTTGATGTCACGGAGATCAAAACAGATGTATGTAGTGGAGTCATTCGATTGTGGCTTTTTCAGTTTTAACTGATTTGGGGGACACATTAATGAGTACTGAAAATTATCAATGTGAGTCCTCTAAAGGCCTCTTGCTGCACAGATTAATTAAGACTTTTAGATCACTGTAAAATGGTTGACAAGTGGATTGTGTGAAGGAGAAGCAGCTGGGTGCTGTAAACAGAATGTTCACCCATGCCTTCTGTGACTGCTCAGTCCCAGACTTAGCCTTTCTGGGCCTCTGTGTCCTTTCTGTAAAGTGAGAAAGAATGCCTGTGGCTCTCCCTTGAATCTCCTGACCTTGAATGCTTAGGGCTTTTGTTGCAACTCATTTGACTCTTAATATTAGCTACATGATCCCAACACTTGTCTATCAATGTGCTTTGTTTGCTTACATGTGTGCTTTATATTCTTCACTAGGTTTGAAGCCTCTGAGAGCCAGGCCCAGGCTGTGTCCATCCATAACCCTGCGACATGCACGCCACAGAATAGGCTGTTTGGCTGAGTGAGGAGCGCATCAAAGGGAACACTTTCCATTTGCTCCCTAAGAGACACTACATGATATACCAAGAGTAATGGCGGGATACTCTGTGATTATCATTACTTTTAAAATATTTATTTATTTTTGAGGGAGGGTCTTACTATGTAGACCTGGCTAGCCTTAAACTCAGAGAGAGCTGCCTGCCTCTGCCTCTTGAGTTCTGAGATTAAAGGCATGAACTATCATGCCTGGTTCAATTATTATTATTTATTATTTTTTTTGAGATTTTATATGTGAGTGTACTGTGTTCGCATCATCTCTATACCTCCTGCTCCACACTCCAACTCTTCCAATGTCCCTTCTTCTCCATATCCCCCTTTAAACTCATGTCATCACCTTCTATGATCACACACACACACACACACACAGAGAGAGAGAGAGAGAGAGAGAGAGAGAGAGAGAGAGAGAGAGAGAGAGAGAGAGAGCCTATTGAGTCCAATTAATATTGCCAATATATAATTAGTCTTGGGTGACCTAGCAGGGGCTTTGTCCCTGAAGAAAACCAACTCTCTCTCTCAGTAGCTCTTCAACTAAGGGTGGAACTAAGAATTTTATATCGTTCTAAAATGGTTGCCTTATCCATGTTGGTCTGTGTACTAGTGTGGTCTTACATTAGCAGTCATATTGTTAGGAGCTCCTAGGTGCAGTATCTTGGTCATGCTCAGGAGACCAATTTTGAGAAGTTCTTTTAGTCTCTGGTTGCTACAGTCTTTCTCCCTCTCTTCTGCGATGTTTCCTGAGCCCTGTGTGTAGGAGTTCTGCTAGAGATTCCCATTTGGTGATAAGAACTCCATGGTCACTCAAGTGAATTAATAAAGCATAACTATAACTATAACTGTATTTATATATGCTACTTTATTTTATGAATATATGTGAATTGTGCTTTAATCAGATGCCTATAAGATATAAAAATCTCATTTGGCTTTCCCATAAACTGAAATGCCATCCCATTTCCAACAAGACATTTGGTGAACTGGATCAGCCCATTATAAAGTTCATATGAAAGAGAGACCCATGAAAGAGCAATAAAAACTGGTTTCTTTTGAACAAGCCCAGACACATCCTAATCACTGTCAAAGCAGACTGCACATTTTAAACAATACAATGCCTACAGCAAATGGTGGAGAAATCAGTTAACCAAGATTAGAGTCCAGAAGCAGACCCAGGACTGCAGAAGAATGTCATGGTAAGTGTGGAGGCATTTCTGATCGGAAGCTCCATAGTAGACTGTTCTGCGCGTGGTGCCGGGACAACTGTTTCTCCATCTGGACTCAAACTATACACAGAAGTAAATTCCAGATGGAACAAAACTCTAAACATAAAACTCAGATCTATGTAAGTACAATAAGAAACTGCATAAACCTCTAAAAATGTAATCTTGAGTTAGAAGTTCTTTGTAAGCAACATGGCCAAGCCAGAGGTCAACAAGGACAGACATGATGTCATAGACATAGAAATGATCAACACAAAATTAAAAGAATTGACAAGTTGGGAAAAAAGGTTTGAATTATACACTTCAGAAAAGGGTTCAGAACTGTTATTGAAAGAGTGCATACAAAGTATGTAGGCAAATGAGCACAACATATAAAATGAGCAATTCTCAGAAGAAATGTATGTGACTAGGGGACATCTGAATTGTTGGTTTAACCATGTTAATGGTAAAGGAAAGGGCTGCCATTTCTACCTCCAGGAGTTGGTTGGATATATCAGTTAATGAAGATACTGTATCTAGACTACCAAGGACAGACATCAGTTGTGTTGCTAGAAAAAAAGGAAAGTTCTAGAACATTCCACATTATATAATTTTCATAATAGTTTAAATTTTAAAAAAATTACAGTATTTTAAACAATTATCTGAGAATTCCATACGTGCATACAATGCATTTTGACCATATCCACCTCCTCTTCCTCCTCAACTCCTCCTGGGTTCACCCTCCCACCTCCTGGATCCACCCTCCCACCTCAACCCACCTCCTTCCAACTTCATATCCTCTTTGGGGTAATAGTTTTTGAAGGGTATGTGCCTATAAAATGAATTTTAATAATTTATGTATGTTGCAGATGTATGGCACAGCAGCTATCTCTTGAGGTAGCATTGAGACAGGAGTAATACATATCCTTTTCTGCTGGAAAATCTTCCCTTTATTATGCTCAATTAAACCCTAATCAAGCCAAGTGACTTCTTTAGGAGGTATTTTAGGGCATTTAGCTGCAGCAAGCCCTTGTGGATGTGGTCTGGTTGCTTGTTTGTTTTAGAATCTCAGTTAATTCTGATGAGATTCTCTCAGTCAGTAGGTTCTGCTCTGACACTGGTTCCAGCCTTGCTTGTCAGGGCCTTTCAAACTTCAGATTCTCTCTATTTGTACAAGAGCTACAACAGATAAGCTTCCCTCATCGACTGTCCTGAGGCATCCAAGGTACCCCATCTGCCCCACCCCCACCCCTGAACTCTGGGTGCTAAATTAATCGCAGCATCCTTGAAGCCAGGAGTCAGCTGGACAAGACCAGTGGCTGCAAACCAAGCTTTGGCTTCCTCTGAAGCCACCTCCTGGCTGTTTGGTAGCAAGGAGTTAACTAGTTCATATCTTTGGTCATCTGGGTCTTTAAGGAAAGCTCTTCCCCCCATTCCAACAACGACTTCCTGTTCGTGGGAAAACGAGAGGAAATGGAGCCGTGGCTGGAGGATGGGCCCACCCTTTTCCAGTCGTGTGGCTCATTTGTCAGGTGTCACATTGGCACCTGGTGGCTTGTGTTGGCCCTCTGCCCACTCTTGCTGGGGAGTATCCAAACACTTGTAATAGGCAGTAGGAGACTTCAAAGGCATTTGTAAGAGAAAAGGATATTGTCATTAAGGAACTTGATGGAGAGCACTCCCAATCATTTAGTGATGTCAAGATGAAAGGAAAATTTTAAAAACACATTATCCAGAGTTTTCTCTTAGGTATACTCTGACCTGTTAAAACAAAGCCATGGAGTGTAGTTGGTTTAGCGAGAACATATCCTTAAGGATATGTGTGTACTGATTGCCATGTTTGGGTGAGACTAGCAGAGGTACCAGTCTTCATATGGGGACAATAGATGAGTTCTCTGTGGGTATAATTCCTGCTCTAACTCATCTTTAAGTAGGGACTCTGTTTGCATCGACTAATGGAACTGTATCCTTTGACTCAAAGCGGGCAGCTCCAGCAGTGCTGAGTGGGTGTGACAAATGGAAGGGACAATAGGAGTTTTCAGAATTCATTAGGAATTCTGGATGGGCACAGCTGGGTCCATCCTCTACATTTCTATTTTCAACAAGATCTGATAGCTGTGGTTGGAGAGAGGGTTCGGAGCTTAAGAACACTGGTTGTTCTTCCAGAAGACCAGGGTTCGATTCCCAGCACCCATGTGTCAGCTCACAACCATCTGTAATCTTAGTTCTAGGAAAACCAATGCTCTCTGTGGTCTGCATGGCACTTCACAAACATGTTGCACAGACATGCATGCAGGCAAAGCACCCATACACATAAAATAATAAAATAAAAAAAAAAAGAAATACTTGATGACTTCTGAGCAATGATACAGGTAAATGTCTGGCAATCGAAGGTAAATTTATCTATGTGTGTGATTTAACTGAACTACACTCAGTGCTCATTAAACTATAATAAGTCTACACAACAATAAAATTTCCTTAGTTTCTGTGATCCATAGAAACTGTCTTGGCTTAGTGCCTCTAAAACCCTCATAGCGTGATCAGTATTATGGACATAGAAGATGGGTGATCACTCTCCCTGAGGTAAGTGTTTAAGGACTCATTACCTGTAACCTCAGTCAGCCTTTTAACCAAACGATCAGTAAGTATTTGTTGACATTTTGATGACCCAACCCACAGCATCAGATAAATTTAATGCAGTTTTAATTGAAAAGATATTTGTTGAATATGTGTTATATCGAATATGATTGGATTTGCTCTATTAGAGACTAGACAACATCTGACTGGACATGCCGCACAGAGGCCCCTCACCTCATAGCTGCAAAGAGGCAGCGGGAAACGTCTGTCCTTACGGGCTCTCTCTCCCCTCTTTTCTTCCTACTGTGGTCCTCAGTGTATGGGATGGTGCTTTTCAAACTCAGGGCAGGACCTTCCCACTCAATGAGCCACAGACATACCCTGAAGTATGCTTTGCTAATCTCCATCTTCTTCCAGATAGGCGCTTCTTCATCCAACCAGTTGGCGGTCACAATCAACCACCACAATCTGAGATTGGCTGTGCTGTCTAATGGTTAAAGCTAATTGGAAACATGAAACTATGGAGTAGCAGCCAAGGAGCAGAGAGAAGATCTGAGTAACTGATGATGGACAGGGCCTGACCTGCAGATCCAAAGCCCGACTCTCACCTAGTCTCTGTTTATCCTAGCCCCCCTTCCTCCTCGCTATGGTTTGTGCCCCTCTTCCTGGCTCAGCCAGTTAGTGCACAAACGGTCTGATTTTGTGCCTGAATTCTTGCTGTTCGTCCTTTTTCAAACCTGCTTCGTTGATTTCTAGTTAGGAACACCTCTCTGCTTTAGGACCAGATCAGTTCCTCATGCCCTGGAAATGTTTTGCAAAGACTCTCATCACACACCCATCTCTCTCAAGCTCTCCAGCACTGCAGATCGATCATGTGTATAAGCAAATCATACACAAGTCCATGCTGTTTAACCAGGTCAAGCGCCTTCCTTGTCTGTCAGTGGAGACACACGCCTGGAGGGTAAGGATCAATGTTCCTCTTGCACCAATTAAGACCAACATTTGATGGCTCAAAACAAAGGTCCCTAAACAGTGGACTTCAAAAGAGGGGTTTTATTTTTCTCATGTTATGAGAAGCATGGAGTGAGGTATCCAGAGCTCAGCGGCGTATTTCCATAAGACGAGAGAACGGACCTCTCTTCACACTTTTGCTTAGCTTTAGCACAGATTTGTCCTGTGAGTGTCACAGCCTGACTGATCCTCTTCAGATACAGCGTCTGTGCTCCAGACAGGAGGAGCATTAAGACAAGCAGCAGAAGGCTCAGGCTTGAGGTGACATGCCTCCCTGGGTGCCCCACCCCATCACTTCTGCGTACCCCGTGTGTCAGCCATGCTGTGGATGGCCCCTCCTATTTGTAAGTGATGCTGACAATATTGGTTTGGTCCAAAGTATAGATATCCCCAACAAAATATGCGCCGTTTTAGCAAAGAGCTATTGGCAACTAGTTTTCTTCCTGCTCACTTATTTGTCTCATTGATATGATATATATTTATAATGCATGCCTCTATATTCAGATACATATGTAAATACACATATATGTGTACATATGCTTCTATGTGTATGTATATACAACTTCGGAGGGAATTGGTTCTAGAACCCCACACGATGCCAAACTCTGAGTATGAGTCCCATTAATAAAATAATGTATTTAATTCATTTCACTACACATACCCCACTACACAATTTCAATCAGAAAACTGCCTGCACACAGCTTTTTTTCCTGTGATAATCTCAATTCATATTCGGCTAAATTCATGGATCTACGGTTGGTGGGTGCGGAAAGCTGACTCTACATTTAAATTTCTGCTCATATTTTGACACAGATATCACATATATATTATGCCGTATATGCAGAGACAGAGAGGTGGAACCAGAAAGACAGATTCAACTGTATCTGTGTCCCTATCTGTTGTTAGCTACAGAGAAACCCTGTGTCTCTGTACTTGAATAAAGGTATGGACATGTGGATACTCACACTAGCACATTGTTACGACTCATCCAAGTCAACAATTGAAGAACTAACCTAATATATCAGCCATTATATTAATTACTGTGACAATTATGGTTAAA